GGTTAATGAGGGTAATGGAGATGAACGGTAAACGGTAGCACGGTGTGAACGGGAAGGTCGCCCCTGAGCGGTTCATTGAGTGAGTTCACGGCGCAGATCGCCCATGTTGTGCTGGATGTGATTGCGTACCACCGGGTCCAGCGAAGCCGGTATGAAGTGCACGTGGTTTGGAAACGCACAATGTTCGTCCGACCGGGAGCTGCATCCTCTGCGTGAGAGATACTTCATGCAGACCGAGAGTCCGTCCTTCTTAGGAAGCGCTTCAATGACGTCGCTCGGAGTTTTTCTCGCGGCTCGAGCCGGCTCGTGGCGGCGGTTGCCGTTGGCAAGATGTAACGTATCATTTGCTGGGCGCGGTCGTTGAGATAGTGTCAGCGAGAGGACACGCTCGGACTGGATGACGTATACGACGCTTTGTAATTCCGGGTCGCGAAAGGAGAGCGTGAGCTTCACTTCCGTGCGGGAGGACGCGCCAGTCCTCGCATCTGATACTGCAGCGGTACGATAATCCTCAAAAACACGATCAAACCAGAAGACAAGTGATTCAACGTCCTGGGCTGCCGACTGGCAGAAACTGCAGAGATTCTCGTCAAACTCGCGAGCTGCACCTACGAGACGGCGTGTGGACTGATCGAAGAATTTCTCGGTGAACACGTGGAGAACTGTAAGAGCGCTCGAGACATCGGCGATTGACCGGGGCCTCTCCGCTTTCGGTAGATGAACGGACGGTGTGAAGTTGTTCAGATTCACCGATGATTTGGTGTACCACTCCCGACGCGCCGCGAAATCCTTTCGTTGAAAAGGGAGGACGGACAGACCACGAGCGCCAAACTCGATCGCGTAGATCCGTACAAAAATGGCGGGGTGGGGTTGGAACTTGGTGGCACGGGACGAAATCATAATATCAACTTAAACGGCTGGATCCTTACCTGTATACGCCGGGGCAGCGATCGAGTCGTGTATCTGCTGCTGAGATGGGGTCGGGTAGAACGCATGCTTAAGCCGGCGAGGGTTGAAGTCGTTCTCGATCACGAGGTCGCCTGAGTTCTCGTAGCGCCGGCGTTGGGGCTCCGCGGCGTTTTCGAGAGTGGCCGGCCGTTTCCTGGAGCCAGATTGGCAGATTGTCAGATAAAAGCGGATCAGATCCGGGTCATCACCAATTGCGGCCAGCACTTTCCCATGATTTGCAGCGCTTGGGGAAACAGGCGTTGAGTCCACAGTGGACGGCTGGAAACTCTGGTTGGTGTGAGCCACTTGGATGGGCTGCTCGATGGAATCCAGTAGTATATCGAGGGCGGTATCATTCTCGTTCGTGTCCGCAGCTGGCCGTGGTTCCGATCGAGCTCGAGGCACTGCATCGGTCGCTGACACGGGGAGGGGCGGAGCGACGGGATCGTCGTCGAAACGACTACCAATGGTACTTTGTACACGTGGTGGCGCGTATTTTTGGCCATCAATGTAGTATGCAAAGTCGTGTCACGGTCTACAGCTAGAAGGAGGTCTCGCCATTCTCGCGGACAGCATCCAGAAGGTCTGCTCAATACAGGGTCAAAGAGCTACATCCGACAAGACAGGACAAGAGGAGCAGACATCGGCGTTCCACGTCTAGAGTGGGACCCGGATGAAGGGAATGAAGAGGTACCTCGCGGTGGACCGCTGCGTGGAAAAGGTT